TTTGACATGTAGATCTTATTCTACACATATATACATCATTAACCATATAACTTTAATTTGACTTAAACTCTAGACAGTGTCTATGTAAATAAATGGAATCATAAATCTACTTTTGTGGTGTGCACGCTCAATATTGTTTAGACTTGGAGACAGGAATCTTAGGCGTATCATTGTAGTTTTGGCAAAGGTTCCTCAGTAGCTTCTTTGAAACTCAGAAGCACAGCAAAATGCACAGGTTATTTATAATTTGGAATATGGACTGAAATCAACTTTTAAAAATCTACAGAAAGAAAAGCATCTAGGAAGCATCTTGCAGCATGTAAAGTTTTGTCCAGGTCACTGAAGTTTCTAAAAATTTCCCCAAAAGAATGAAAGAGTTTAATGCATTGGGCTTCTAAATCTAACTATTTTTCCTGAAGTGTTTTTCAAATTAAAGAAGAACCATCCTAGTTTCCATGAGAAAGTTATCCACAGCACTACATATGCAGCCCTCTCCAACGTTCTGATGCTCTAATTTGTCCTCAACTTCCTGACAGAAATTCAACAAGATTTCCTGAACACGCTTATAAATCAGAGCAGAGAAGGAAGAAACAAGAGTGATAAAATAATGATCACTGAAATTCTATCTAGAACAAAAGACTAGATCTCCCTATCTGCTATTACATTTTGGGAAGAAAGCTCCTGGAGTAGCTGAAAGATGCTGGATGATTGCAATCAGGCTTGGTCTGAGTTTTAAAGGACTTTTGGAGTTGGGTAGGAGCTCAGTGATACGTGTTCATTTTTTCTCGTTTCACAGATGAGGAAGCTAGCAGAAATTAAATCACTTGCCCAGAGGAATACATTTAGTCACTGAGAAAGAAAAAAAAATTAGGATTAACAAATGAAATCTCAAGAGAGAATCAGTGGCTTCTTCACACATAATACCATGTTTGAATGAGGAAAGCACCTCAGAAGGACTCTTGCAGGCAAGGGGAGGGGAGTGACATGGAAATAAGCTTGTCTTATGGGCTTGGCAGGCAGAGTGCCAGCTCCAGACTGGAGAATAAAATTGGATCAGTAGGGTGGAGACACACTATGTCCAACAATCCACTTTTATCTTGAAGGGGCCTCTAAGGAGGGCTAGGATGAAATTAATGTCTCCTGAAGATTTTTAGAAAAGATAGTTTTAAATCCTTGATGGTATACTATGCAATTATAATTTTCTTTAAACCTTGAAAAACTTGCTGTTGAATAAATTAAGTTGGTCCTATTGAACTTTAGCTAAGGGTGCACTCAAAAGGATCAGAAAACACTTTATTGTAACATACATTAGTGAATTCAAAATGTAAATTTTGTAGTTGAAATTTCCTTTGTACTCACTAAACACTAAGTACAATTTTCACATGAATTTAGTGACCATTTCTAATATAGGAAGACCATGAAATCAAAGGTAGAATTCTACGGTTTAAATTGCTCATATCCCCGCCTTCAAATGCATGACATTTTAAGTGTCCTATAAAGCGTGCTAGCCCCCAGTGGTATATAATGGAATACTAATGCTATCAGGGAGCAAGGAGCAATTTTTCTTTTATGAGCGCAAAGCAGTGATACAAGGCCCTAAATGAACAGTGCTAAGTGCACCAGCTGCTGTCGATCAATATTTTGACCATTAATACTCATTCAGGCTTTTAGTCCAGTTTAAATGCATATTACCATGGCTTATTTTTAAACCATTTATGGATTCTAATCCTTCAATTTTGAATTAATGAGAACTGTAGAATGTAGTGAAAGGCAATTATCCATTAGTATGCTTGGTGAAAATATTGTTTTAATGCTGCTACTATTTTTTAAAAGTATACTATGACCCTTAATAATGAGAGAAAAGCTACTTTTCAGGTACTTGTAGTACCAGATTTATTTCCATTCAACACAAAGGCAAGCTGATCAACACAATGATTCTTTTCGCTGGCCTCTACAGTCCTTTTGAGAAGATGTTTCATTACAAATCTATAGGAGAGAGATGACAGTCTAGTCACAAAGATTCGTCTTCTTAAAAAAAAAAAAAACAACAAAAAAAAAAAAACGTAAAAGTTTAAATTATAACCATAGGTTTGTTTCTTTCTTTCTCACTGTTTGTCACTATGTTCCCTGGACAGCTTTTGCAAAAACCATGAATTCCATACTCAGATGCAAAAGGGAACTGATACAGCTTTACCCTGAATTTTTTTTCTAGTCCTGGGGATTGCACCTAACACCTTTAGGCAGTCACTCTACCACTAAACCACATTCCCAACCTACCCTGAAACTGAGTGTTTCCAGACCTTTTAGAATAGACAATCTATCTCACCAAACCTGAAAGAGCAAACATTAGAGGATGCATCTCATCTCACAGATGCATCCTCTCTCCTGGAAGATCACTGAAAGAATGTAATTATTTTTAAATATCTCAGCATCTTTTAGTAAAGCTATACATATGGGTGAATCGTAGCTCAGCAGTTAATAACATGACCTTCACTTGTGTTAATCTTTGTACCTTTGTCTGCAAAATGAGTGTGTTGGATTTTCTAAGGTGTCTCCCTATTTATAAATTCAAGTTCATTTACAGGTACTGACATTTATTCCACTTGGCATCTTTTTTCCCTTTATAAGTAAAAGTGTTTATTAAGTTCCTCTATTTCAAACTATTTTATTGCACTTTTAAAGTCCCTAATAAACATCACAGATATAACATTTAGTTCATCCTCAGACCAAAAAGAAAAATGAGACCTCAGTAATGCCATCAACATGGACTATTTTCAGAGACTGTCTTACAGGGTAAATATGAATATAATTAACACATTCAAATGACTGAAGTTACATGGACTCTGTCCTGGGTGCCTAATCTGTTTTAGGAAGTTAACTTCACTTCTTTAGGATTCAGTATTTTCCTCTGTAAAATAAAGCTGCTAGGAAAGTTCCCCTTAAATTCCAATAATTATTGTTCTATTATAACAAAAACATTAAAATGTATCTCCTTTTTATTTATATAGTTCACGATAACTCAGATATGCAAAATTCTATATATATGCATACATGCATTCATAATTTTTATAATCCTTTTACATTGCACTGTTCATTGCTTTCAATGATTTTCTCATTTAAAAAAATTATGAAAGAAGAAGTCATACAATACACTTCAGGCTTATAAATTTTAAGTCTAAACTGCCTTAAGAATAGTAACTTTAAAAAGTGTTATCTCAACAGTAGTGGATAATGCACTAATATTTTATAATTTCAACCACAATTTTAAAATATTTTATGTAGTTTTTGATGATGAATGGTAATCTGGAATTTTTCAGGTTCAAGAGTAAAATTTACTTTATGTGTTGGGAATACAATCCTTGAATTTAATTCAATCAAAATGTGATTAATTTTACAAAACTATATTCCCATAATAGCTGAAATTGTTAAAAGAGTCATAATTCAAGCAAATGTAGGGTAATGAAGAATCTTACCCTTCAACAAGTTCGATAATTTTAAAACTGTATTGTTATTAAAGTATATATGGCCCTTTAACATGATGACAAGGATTACACTGTATCTGGCTTCCCCAATTACATCTTTTATTGTTGTCAATTATTTGTTAGCCATCTCAAGAGAGTCTCCATTGATGACGAAGAAAGGCAAATGACTTTCTTCGTAGTCAATGACTTCGTCTCTGATAGCACCCCTTCTTTTCTGCTTGGTTATTTCTCTTCTATTGTATTCTCTATGTTCCCCTTCCATAACAGTTTTATTATGTTAAGAACCTCAATACAAAGGAATTTAACTTTGTTCTCTGAATGGATCAGCACATGGGCTCCCTAAAAAGATATTACATTGCATTATTTGGAGCCTCTATCTCATAGTTCAAGTCCCTCATAGTGTGATCTAATTAAGTCATAGGGTTTCTTATGTTCTCAAATCATGACTGTATATTATTGACATCAGTATATGACATGGTTCGCACATAAAATGTACATTCATCTTGATGCCTAGACTGCAGGCATATCCAAGGGCTTCAAGACTTCCAAAATGAAGGAAGCCCCAAAAGTTTGCTCTTTGCTATGAATTATAGCATTGGCTTGCCTTTTTCCATTGTATCCAAAGTTTCTGTGCATTAATAGTCAGGAACAAGAGTGGAGATACAAACTATTTTATTTATTTATGTTATTTATGAATAACATCAGTTTGAAACTACTGTCGTATTTTACTTTAAAAGATGATAATACAGAGTGGATAATATTTATAATATTTTATTAAACCTTCTGAAATGGATGATATGGTAAATTGCACAGAAAACAATACCTCAGGAGTTTTAAGCTTAAAACATACTATTTTCACACTTTGTCTTTAGAGAGAAAGAGAGAGAGAAATAATATTAATAATAATAATTATAAATTAAAACATCTGAAGTCAGGCTAAGAAATGAAAAGTGCAGCACAGGAAACTCTTGCTTACATATAACACTTTCTTATTTTAAGAAAATAAAACATTTATTTAATATAAATGATTTGGAAAGTTATTCCCACGGAAGGGGTGGAATTTGTTTCTGCAAGTTTTCTTCATGAAATTAGTCGATATAAAAAGATAATTTTAAGAGAAATCATTTTTGGAACTTTATATTGCTCATCAGAGCTGCCTGTGCAGAAAAAGGCTGATCTGTGTCAGCAAAGCCATCACTTCCCAATATCTTTATAAAAACAAACAGCTCCGCTGGCTGGCTGGACTCCCCACATAACAATGAACTCACTGCTGTCAACAGACTTGTATTATGTGCCGCCTGACAACATGACTATGACATTCGCTCTTGTGACAAGGCAAATTTGGGCAGCTCCTCTGGAAAGAGATTAGCATTCATTACCCTGCAGCACCTTTCATCAAGCTAATGACATTTCAATCAGCACATTTTCTCCAGTTTCGGTACTTTGCCATCTGAGCACAGGTCTCTAATTACACCCAAGCAACAAGTTTCACATCAGTCCCATAATTTATGCACTCACCATACACCATCGCTCCTCCAGTTTCATGCAAAAAACGAAATCGATGATTTTTAAATAACCAGATTGTCAGAATAGTAAGGATGAGCAAAAAATTAAAGACAAGCAGCTCCACCGCTCCTTGATGTTGAAAGTGATACTCATCCTTCTCTGACATAAACCTTTGCTGCCTCTCCATTCTCTAGTCTTCTTGGACCCCTTAGATAAAATTCTGGATAAAAGCTGTTTTATCAAGATTTACCCAAGACAGAATAAACACGGCCACTTTACTTGCTACTTCACAAGCATTCTATCCTGGCTTAGCGTTCAGCCGGCTTCTAGTTACAACTTCCTGTTTCTCTCTTAAAGCAGCCTTGTCTCTTTTTGAACTCCAGAGCGTGGTTTTGTCATCATCAGTTCTTAGCATCTTTAAATGATTCATCCCTGAAAATATTTTCAATACTGGCAAATCTACAGGCAATAATTCTGAGATCTTGAGTCATGATGTTAACTATTTCAAGTTTTCTTAAGGTGCATGACTAGTAAATGGTAGATTAGTATTTTAAAAGTTTACTTTGCATTAGTAATATTTTCTGGGCTCAAAAAGGCAATTTCTAACTCAATCTTAGCCATTCTCTACTATTAGAGCCTGCTAATAGTATGGGACCTGATAACTCTGGTTTGACCTGAAATGATTTCACAGTTCTTTTTGAAGTTGAAAAGCATGAATTTAGTATATGATTCTTTGTTTGGGTTTCTATACTCGGTTATCACAGAATAGAATTTAAACTCTGAGCCTATTGTTTTCAACAAGAAAAACTAAAAAGTAAAAGTCAAAAAGGAAAGTCTATCCCCATGTTACCACTGTACTATTTGGATATGTTGAGTCATGTCGCTGAAGGCAGAAATCATGCAGCCACCCTCAGCAATGCACACACATGTGTTTCTTTCTGCGGAGCTGGCCCTGACACCCAGGACTCCCAGCAATGTGTGGCAGATCACAGCCTCCTCTATGCTGTGGTAAAACTGTTAATCCCTGACAAACAGTTCTGCCACCAATAATAATGACTTCAGAATCAGAAGAGTCATACCAGCTAAAGTTCTTTAGAACATTCTTCATTTGACAGGCTAGTTCTGCTTAATCCTATATTTTTATGCTTTTAGGAATCCAGTGGTTCAAAACAATAAAACTATGTGTTGTTACTTTTTAAAAACAAAGTATTGTGATCAGCTTGACTTTATCAAGAGATCTTGTAGTGGAATTTGGTATATTCTGAGGTTAAGTGAGGTTTTTCATTGTTTTGCCAAATTACGGTAATACAGGACTAGTAAGCATCCTGTATTCCCATTTTGGTGGTATTAGCATTCAGTTCATACAATGTGATTCATTGACTAGGCAGAGCTCAAAAATGTCCTGAAAAAATCATTGTTGCAAAAGGCTAAAATACAAATATATAATAATAAGGTAGTTAACTACCCCTTCAGTAAAGTTTCACATTTAGAGAAAGTTTATCAGCCACTTAGTAAGAAATTGCCCATTCAGCTTCTTTGCCTTGTGAAACTTTGAAGCTGATTTCCTCTTTGAGTTTAACTTGGCAGAGATTATTTATGTGCATTGCAGATGTTCTATCACACTACCCTTTTTATCAAGCATATCTGTGATGACTAATATTCAAACTGTTTTGCAACCTGTCAGCTAATGCTTGCAAGCATTTCATAGAGCTTTGCTAGCATGTTCTTTTATAATTTTGCAACCACAAAGGTTTAGTGTTGAGTTGTTAGATTTGCAAGATAACACAAATTCAGTTCCTCACCCACTCTCTGGAAGGGTAAAGTAGGGGGATCAACACAAAGACACTGTCTTCACCTTGTAGTTAACAAAACAAAACAAAACAAAAATACAGAAAGAAAGAAAAAAAGGATGGAAGAAGATATCAGAAAATGGGAAGATACCCCTTGCTCTTGGGTAGGAAGAACCAATGTAGTGAAAATGGCTATACTTCCAAAACTATTAAACATGTTTAATACAATTCCTGTCAAAATTCCAATAGCATATCTCACATAATTAGGAAAAACAATCCGAAAATTCATTTGGAACCAAAAGAGACCTAGAATAGCAAAAACAATTCTGGGTAATAAAGGCAAGGCAGGGGCATCACAATCCCTAACTTGAAATCATACCATAAAGTTACTCCGATAAAAACACCATGTACAGGCAAAAAAAAGACCCAAGGATCAATGAAACATACAAGAAGATCCAGAAATAACTCCAAACACATTCAGCCACCTTATCTGTGACAAAACTGCCAAATACATTCACTGAAGAAAGCATAGCCTCTTCAATAAATGGTGCTGGAAAAATTGGCTTTGCCCTTGCTGAAGATTAAAGTTGGATACGTATTTTTCACCACGCACTAAAATAATTGGAAATGGAGTAAAGACCTAAGTATTAAAACAGAAACATTAAATCTGCTAGAAGATAGAATTGGCAAAACCCTTGAGCTACATCTAGTGATGTAGCTCAGTGGCACAGTGCCTGTCTGGTAAGCTCAAGGTCCTGAGTTCAATTCCTGGTACAAAAAAAGAAAGATTTTGGTATAGGCAAAATTTATTTATGAATAAAACCCTGATCACACACAAGATGATCACAAAGACTCAACAACTGGGATCTCATCTTATTAAAAGTCTTTTCCACAGCAAAATAAACTACCAACAGAGTGAAGAGAAACCCCACAGTATGGGAAAAAATGTTTCTCAGATGGTCCTCAGACGAAAGATTACTATCAAGAATATATAACTAACTAAAATTACTATTAAGAATATATAACTAACTAAAAAAAGTTAGACCTTCCAAATTGAGATCCAATCCAAAAATGAACATCTGAGATGATACATACTTCTCAGATGAAGAAATACAAACATCAAATAAATATATGAAGAAATGTTCAATATCACTTGTCATTGGAGGGATGCACATTAAAACACTGAGATACAATCGCACCCTGCGGGGTGGGGGAGGCTATTATAAAAAAAAAAAATCTACCAGTAACAAATGCTGGAGGCACTATGGAGAAAAAAGTAACCCTTCTCCACTAGAGAATGGTTCAACCACTGTGCAACTACTGTGGATATCAGTGTGGAGATTTCTCAAAAATATAGAATTAAAAAATATAGAATTCATCCAGCTATTCCTCTTCTAGGATAGAGGAATTGGAAACATCATATCATGGCAGTATGTGTGCACATATCTATAGCAGCCCAATTTTTAGTAGCAAAATCTTGGAAACAATCCAAATGTGCATCAAACAAGGAATGAATACAAAAGACATTTATTTTTATATAATGGAGAATTGCTCCTCTATAAAAAAAGATAAACTGGAGATTTTTATAGATAAATACTTGACTCCATACTTATAAATGAAATAAATCATGCTCATACATGTAAGCATCATATTGTCTCCCTAGTAGGAAAAGCTGGAAGAGTAAATATGATATTATAAATGTATATCAATTCTGAAAATAATGGGATATTAGCCTTCCAAAGTTTTTATTCCTTTTCAAAATTGTTTTAATGATTTCAAGGCTTTTGGATTTTCATATCAATTTTAGAAAAGTTTGCCAATTACAAAAAAACTGGAGGGGCTGGAGGTTTTGCTCAGCGGCATAAGCGCTTGCCTTGCAAGCAGGCAGTCGTGAGTTCGATCCCTGGTACCAATAAAAAGGAAAAAGACAAAAAAAAAAAAAACCTGGAATTTTTATTAGAATTAGATTACTTGATCAATTTTTAGAAAATCATTATCTTCAGTGTTTCATCTTAAAATGTTTCTTGAGATCTTTAATTTCTTGTAATGTTTTCTAGTTTTCAGTGTATATATAGGTCTTGTAAATTTTGTGATGACATTTATCACTATTTTATATCTCATTTATTATTTCCTTATTACTATTTTATGTTTAATATTCTTGTAAACAATGTGTTTGGTTTTTGTTTGTCATCATGAAATGGAAGTACATTTGCTTTTCAATATATATTTATTTTAAAAATACCACTTCAAAACTTGGGAACTTTCTATTTTATTAGATCATCACTAAATTACTTTGGTTTTCTTTTTATCACAATAATACCATCTAAGTAAACTTTATTTATCTTATGACATTTGGTTTTATTCTCCTACCCAAGAAAGAGACTCAATAAGAGAAATAAAGACCCTTAGAATGTTTTGAATGGTGTATACATTGCTTAAATTTGATGTCATTTTCAAGCCACTAGATTTTCACAGAAAAATCATATATATGGCTTCTTGTAAGATCCTGCATACTGGACTCTCGTTATTTAACTATAATCTATTAGGGAGGGTAGAATAGTTGCTTCTCCATGTACCACAAGTTTACTCAAGTTCATTTATTCCTTGTCACTCATTCATGCTCTGTCACCCTTGCAGTCATTTGAGGAAATGGTCCTTCACTTATTCCAGGAATGGAACACTTTTGCTACTCCATTGTCCAGTCTGGGGTAGAAAGCTGAGAAATACATGTGTGTAGGAGGGCAGCAGAGGGAGATCAGGAGACTTTTCAATTCCTTCACTCAAAAACCTGACAAGCTACGACGTCAGGGACAAGGAGGGTCCCAGATGGACAGCTCATGTATTTCTGTATTCTAGCATTTTGTCTGCAGCACTTCACTGCTTTTGTTTTGGAGAAGGCTCCTCTTTAACAGAAATGTTAGGCTTCAGTCCATCCTATTTCCTTTCTTGTACATCTTGAAGTGTCAGTCATGAGAAAAAATTTAGTCTCAACTAAATGTATATAAGGCAGGTTAAGTGAAGTTGGCAACAGTGTTAGGAACCAACCCCCAGGCCAGAACGAAGGCTTCAGAGCTGAATCGTGGTGTGAGCTCTAGAGCCAAGGACAAGATGGAGACAGGGTTGGGAAGTTAGCTCAGTGGCATAAGTACCTGCCTGGCAAGTGCAAGATTGTGAATTCAATACCCAGTACAAAAAAAAAAAAAAAAAAAAAAAAAAAAAAGAAAGAAAAGAAAAGAAACACCCTAAGACAGACAGCACTCCAAGTTTGTAGTTATTGTAGCCCCAAATTCTAAAATCAAAGACCCAAGGAAAGTCATGTGTTTGATCTTCCATTAAATGTACACATGACATTTACACACTTTTAGTATAAAACTTCTCTATATAATAGTGAAACTAATAATTCCAATCTTATCAGTTAAAAAAACTGCTATATCATGTCTCTATATTAAATTATAAAAATTTTATAAGAATTAACAAAGTTACCAAGTTTTTCATTTGGTCCTATTCTCTGTACTTTTTTGTCCTCTAGAGAAAAGAAAAATGCCA